TTGATTAGACTTCATTCTCAAACTTTCTTTTAATTTTTCAGATGTGGTTTCCTTCAGTGCTTTAAACATATTATAAATAGCTAGTTGATTTAAAGTCTTTTCCAGTAAGTCCAATGTCTGGCTTTTTCAGGGACAGTTTCTGATGATTGCTTTTTGTCTTGTGTATGGGCCATATTTTCCTTCTTTGCATGCCTCACAAATTTTGTTGAAACTGGATATTTTAAATAATGTGATGTGGCAACTCTGGAAATCAGGTTTCCTCTTCCTTTGCCATCTCTCCAGTCCCGGATTTGCTGTTGCTGCTATTTATTTAATGACTTTTCTGGACTAACTCTGTATTCTTTAGTTACCTGCAGCCACTGAAGTCTGTTCAGTTAGGTTGGTGATCACGTAGGTAATGGTTGGGTAGAGATGTCCTTAAATCCTTTGAACTAATTAATTTCCCATCTTTTTCTGAGGTGCTGTGCCTTCACTTCTTACTTGTGCAGAGATTCAGGGTTAAGCCAGAGGTGAAAGATTAGGACCTGGCCATATCTTTCCTGGGCCCTACATAGATGCCTTCTAAATTCTCTGGAATATGTTAGAGCATTTCAAAGTCCCCCATGAGCATCCTCTTCCCTACTTTTTTCTTTTGATTGTCAGCTTCTTTTTAGTCCCAACAAGGAATGCCACCTCAGATAGCTGTGCTATTAAACAGTTACCATTGATTTTTTTTTTTTTTTTTACAAATGTCAAAAAATGTTCCAGGCATAGGGCATTGTGAGCTCTAATTCCGATCAAATGAAGCAAGCCCTGAGAATGGAGCCTTTCAGGAAGCTGCTAGATAAATGGCAGTTCTCTGGGGATGGGATTTTTGGGAAGCTCTAAACTCATTTGCTTCCTACATCATTGCTGTTACCTTGTTCATTATTATAGCACTGTGATTGAGAGCCTGTTGGTTTTGATGACTACCATAGAGCCAAAGAGAGAGGGATGAAATTAGCACAAGTTTCTGTTTTATTGTTTTAAAGGTTTGTTTTTTTTTTTTTTAAATGAGAGACACAGAGAGAGTCAGAGACACAGGCAGAGTGAGAAGCAGGCTTCCTGTGGAGAGCCCTATGTGGGACTTGATTCCCAGACCCCTGGATCCCGCCTTGAGCCAAAGGCAGATGCTCAACCACTGAGCCACCCTGGTGTCCCTCAATTAGTGCAAGTTCTAACACCACAGGTCTCACTGATCTTGAGATGTAGTTATTTTTCCTGAGTAAATGCTCTTTGAATTGTAGTAAATTTCTAATTTCCAGAGTTGCGAAAAGCTTATTTCTGACCGTTTGTGCCAGGGTTTTTGTTGCTTTTATGAAAGAGCAGGTTTCTGAAGGTTCTTGCTCTGCCATTCCAGGAGTTAACTTCCCTCCTTGGTGTATCTTACTGTCATCTGAAACAGATGTGTGGCATGATCATTTGCTAACATCCACACTCCACCACAATGAGTGAGTTTTTCTGTAAATACTGACAATGAAATGAGACATTTTTCTAGTTGGCTGCTTGCTCCAGTCCCTCAACTTCTTACCACCTTCTGGATTTTCTCTTTCTAAATCTAAACTCCTTAAACATCCTGATTTTTTTTTTTAATAGCCTCCTCTTTTTGCACCCACAGCCTTTTATGGTATCCTTAACCCCCTGTCCCTTCAGGGTTCACTAGGGATCTTAGCTGAGAGGTGATTTGTGATTCAGGCTTGACTTAGCCATGTTAAATCAGCTTTGGTTAATCTATGTAGTCCATGCCAGAATAACTCAGCATTTTCTTTCTTTTATAGTATTTATCTGTTTTGTATATCTATATACAAAAATAGTACTTACTAATCTCATGTACATTATTACTCTCTCAGGCCCAATTGGACAAACTGCCACATCTATAACGATTTTTTTTTAGGTAATATTAATTATATGCCTCATTTATTTTACCTTATATTTGAGATCCTTGAGACCATACTTCAATTAAACTCTTCAGTATCTGAACATAAATACACGAGATATTTGTAAGGTACCAATTCTATTGTACTGTGGCCCTACTGCTTTCTGGGGCAAAGAAATCTGAAAACAAAGAATTTCATGACACGTTTTGGGATGTTAAGACTGGTGTAGTATAATCCGTAAGCAATAGAGAATTTTTTTTAAGTTGTCTTAAAATTCCAAAATATCATTAAAAGAAAAGCAGATAACAAGTGTTGCCAAGGTTGTGGAGAAACTGCAACCCTATGCATTACTGGTGGGAATGAAAATTGCGTAGCTGCTATGGAAAGCTGTATTGCCATTCCTCAGAAATTTAAAACCATTACTATAAATTTTATGCCACGATAATTTTTTAAAAATGAAAAATAATTCAAAATAATGTGTGTTTTAGAAAAAAGTGTAGTACAGAATTTGTCAAGTAAGAAGTAAGAATTCTCTCTTGTCCTTCCACTTTGGGAAAGTTTGGGATGTGGCTTTCAAGGACTTTCTGTGTACATATCAACATAATTGTTTTACTTATTTATAAATTATATTTATATAAAATTATGTAAATGTATAGTTAATAACTATCTTTTTTTATTCAACAGTTTACTAAAGATTTTTCTTGCCAATACAAAAAAATCTGTAGCCTGATGATTTATATGGCAGCCATATGATATTCGATGGTATACTTGTACTAAAACTTAACCATTTCCTTATTCAAGTTCATTTTCATTTTTCCAGTTTTGTATTGTAACAAATGTTTGTTACTTATTAATAAACACTAGTCTTTGTAATAAACTCTAGTCTTTGTAAATATGTATCTTTGGATACTTACAACATGAATTTTTGACTGCTTAATATATGCCTAATACTGTGTTACAGACCAGTAAAGTTTATGATAGATCCTTAAAATTATAAGTATTTTGTATAATTGCCTATGTGTATGTATATGTGTACATGTATATATAAGGTAGCTTTTTGGAAATTAAAACATACTTTCCCAAATTTTAAGTGGTGTCTGAGTCTACAGGCCAGTCCTTGAAAATCTGTTTGACTTAAAATACCTGAAATTTAACCTTGGTTATGCTGTTAAAAACTAGCCACAATCTAGTTATATTTACATGGGGGAGTAGTTTTAGAGTTCTATACAGGAGTGTCAAGAGCATAGGAAGTACGGTATCCTAAACCATTGGTGGTTAATCCTGTGGCCTTGATCCAGGGTCATGGACAGGATGGGAAACTAGGCTGAGAGAGGATGATAAAACAGTGGAAGACCTGGGGTGTCAGAATTAGGGGTAGAGTTGAGGTCTTTTGATTTCTAGTATTTTTCCAGTATACAAGCTTAACCCGTGAGACCATTGATCTCAAATATAATGTCTGTTACAGAAAGAACATATTCGATCCAGTTTTATTTAGTGTTATGATTCTGATTGCATTCTGATTAAAAAAACTTGTTTAAAAACATGCAAATAGGTTTCTAACAGTAGCTATGATCTAGCCCTAATTTTGGTTAATTGGTCATTTTGTTTGTTTTTCAGTCACAGAGTTTGGGGCAATCAGGAAAAAAGAAAGCAAAGTAAAAGACATCCTCAGAAACTTTTTTTTTTTTTTTTTTTTAGATTTTAGTGACAAACCTGAAGTTATAGCTCCATGTTTTTCCTGGTATTTGAATAGGACAAGTGGCTACAGAGAAAAATTTATTTTCTGTATATCCCATAGGTGTCTTTTCACAACTATCCAAAACTACATGAGTTCTCTTTATTTCCTTATATACCTCAGAATCCTAAGAATGGCCTGCAGTATTCATGTCTTCTTACCTCTATAAGACCTTCCTCAAAAAAAAAAAAAAAAAAATATATATATATATATAGTGTGTGTGTGTGTGTATGTAAGGATCTTCCTCTTCAGAGCAGCTTACAATTAGTCATTGTTCTACATAATAGGGAAGGAGAAGATGATAAAAGTGAGAATTATTAGATTAACTTGACTAAACTAATGCAGAATAACATGCTTAAGAAGAAGGGCCTTTCATTGTTGCTCCACTCTAAACATCTACATTTAAAAATCTTCCATGAGGGAGTAAAAATGACATTTATACCAAACTCTAGTAAAGTGGCCTTTTGGCTATAATTTAATCAGCGCTGGAGTTCAGGTGTATCTGCAGGTGTAAATGCTTGTAGTCCATAAAGGAGGCACAGATCAGGTCATGGGCCTGAGAAACCATCCTTTCTGTTAAATCCCCAGCTGGATACTTTCCTCTTTTCTGCACCGTGTGTTGATGAGGCCTTCAAGGTCTCCTTCATGCTTGACACAGAAGTCTGTGTACCTCACTCATGATTTGGCTGGGTGATCACTTTCTGTCCTATTATCTGTAGGGACAACTTGTTGCATGTGTCTTTGGTTACCTTACAAATCCTTTGTTTCTAGTTCACAGCAGTGTTTTAAGAGGGTGATAAGTCAAACATCACTGTTCTACTAGAGCTATTTTATTTGACCAAAATAAAAAGAAGTGAATATTATACAAAAAAATGCAATTTTTGAATTTAATCATTTCTCTTTAGGTTTCTTCCTTCAAAAATGGGGTAGTCATGTAAAGTCATTTAAATGTTATCTTTTGTAGGGTTTGGGTACATTATTATAAAATGTGGGGTTATTTGAATTTAGTATGGCCGATAATAACATCATGAGGAAATTTCTTTTTGAAAACCTCCTCAGGGAAAAATCAATTTCTATACAAATAGAATTTGTATAGACAACTTTTGATGAAATATAAATAGACAACTTTTGATGAAATATAAATAACGTCACCCTGGCAGTGGCAAGTCTCTTTGGAGTCCTGCCACCCTCTTCCCTCTAGCCATTGGCTTCAACTTCAAGTTGAGTTTCAATTTCTCCTCTTGACCCAGTTGAGAGACTCTTCTAGAACATCCTATTTGGGATGGTGTGGTGAGGACAAATGCATTTTCATTGATTATAATCACTCCACCTAATGCATAATAATTTAAGAAATTGTGTTTCTATCTTAGGACTTGGACTAAAGTCTGATGAACTTCCTGATCAGATGAGCATGAGTGATTGGCCAGAAATGAAGAAGAGATTTGCAGATATATTTGCAAAGAAGACAAAGGCAGAGTGGTGTCAGATCTTTGATGGCACAGATGCATGTGTGACTCCAGTTCTGACATTTGAAGAGGTTATCCACCACGATCATAACAAAGAACGGGGCTCATTTATCATTAATGAGGAACAGAGTGTGAGTCCCCGCCCTGCACCTCTGCTGTCAGGCACCCCAGCTGTTCCTTCTTGCAAAAGGAATCCTTTTGTAGGAGAACATACTGAAGAGATACTTAGAGAATTTGGGTTCACCCAGACAGAGATCAATCAGCTTACCTCAGATAAAATTATTGAAATTAATAAGCCAAGAGCTAATCTCTAAGTTCCAGGCCTCCTAGTGCAAGTGAATTTGAATATTGCATGTTCAGTATAGAATAATACATAAAATTGTGTGGAAACATGAAGGAACAGTATCACAGGGCACCAACTATTCTAACCAAGAAACAAGATTGATTACACAGTAATGATTGAATACTGAAAATGGTTAAAATCATAGCTTTTGATTGAGTACTTTTAGTTTACCAATATTAAGTTGTGACAGTTTTTCTGCCTTTCAATTTACTTGACAGATTATATTTTTAATATAAAAATGTTAATACACCTTAAATAGATTTTTTTACTAAAATAGAATAGATTTTTACTTAAAAAAAAGCCTTTCACCCCTCAATATTTACTTATGCTTTTAATTTTGAAAAGCTTTTAAGAAAGTCCTTTAAATAGCACTTAAAAAGCATTTTTGCATTTATTATTTATTCATGAGAGACACAGTGAGAGAGACGGCAGAGGGAGAAGCAGGCTCCATGCAGGGAGCCCTATGTGGGCCTCAATCCTGGGACTCCAGGATCATGCCCTGAACCGAAGGCATTCAACTGCTGAGCCACCTGGATTATAGTGCAATCTTATGTTCAAGGTGCATTTACTTCACTGATACTTCATGTGGTGTCTGTTTAACAGATGCTGGTTTTCACTCTGTTTACTATCTTCAAAATTTTAAAGAAGTGAATGTCAGTAGTGAAGTACCGTCACTTCCATCTTCATAGCTCTGTACCAGTCCCCTCAGTCCAACACCCAATGCTGCCTTCATTCAGGTCCCTATTACCTCTGCCCTAGACTACTGCTCAGCTAGCCTACCTGATTTTTGACCTCCAGTATTAGTGCCTTCATTTTTTTTCTTTTTATCGTGTTACTCTACTTCATTACTACATTCTTTTATCGTGTTACTACTCATTACCACACCAAACTGGTCTTTCCTGTAAAATTCTTCAATGGTCCTCTCTTTTTCCTATATAACAAAATATAAAGCCACGTATATAGCATATCAACTCTTTATAACAAAACTTCTCCGTAGCTATTTAGTCCCATCCATGATCCCTGCTCCCTCGTGCTTTATATTGGACTGCCTTAAGTGCCTAATTATGTGATGGTCTCTCTTCCTTCCATTCCTTTTCATATTCTGTAATATTTTCCAGGACTAACAATGCTCCCAGCCCCTCTTGCTCCAGCTTGTTGATTTCGCAAATTTAGAGTTGGTTCAAACACAGCCTTCTTTGTGAAACTTCTTGTGTGTTGTCAGTCCTGGGAAGTTTTATACAGTGTTGTGAAATTTGGAGTCAGAAGGGTGTTGGGTTCAAATATCACTCAATCACTGTGGTGTCTAGGACAATTCTAGGTACTCACAAATTTTTAGTTCTAAGGAGCCCTTCCTATGTTTCCATTGTACTTTGTACATAACTCCAAGGATAGTCATTGCTTTTAGTTTATATAACTCTTCACTAAGTCATAAGCTCCTAGAGTAGTTGCTCTAGCACACAAAAGAATCATCTGGAGATACTTTTAAAATACAGATTCCTAGGCTCACCCCTAGAGATGCAGTGTATCTAGGGCAAGACCTATGAATTTGTATTTTTTTCCAGATGATTATAATGCTTCTGATTCAGTGACCACACTTTGAGTAGTACTGTCCTAAATGGATATGAACCAAGTCTTTTTCCCGTTGTTACTGTCATAATAAGTGCTCAAAAAAAAATATCTGTTGAAGAATTGATGAGGGAAAGGATAAAAGCCAGTTGGCAAAAATCTGTAAATAAGGTTAGCTCAAAATACTGATTTCTAATTGACTTCATATCAAATGTTTGAATGAAAAATTGGTTTTTGTAGGATATAAACTTTTTAAAGAATACAGATATATAGGGGTAGCCCTGGTGGCGCAGCAGTTTAATGCCGCCTGCAGCCCGGGGTGTGATCCTGGAGTCCCAGGATCGAGTCCCACATCGGGCTTCCTGCATGGAGCCTGCTTCTCCCTCTGCCTGTGTCTCTGCCTCTCTCTCACTCTCTCTGAATGAATAAATAAATAAATCTTTAAAAAAAAAAGAATACAGATATATAAATAAGGTTAATAATTGCTTTTGTTAGCGACCCATACTTTTTTTTTGAAGAGTCTATCTAAGACCTTGTGCAGAAAGTGCTACACTTCCTCTTTTGTTGTCCCATGTCAAACTGTAGACTTAGGAATAGGCAAGGGGGCAGATGAGAACATAAGAAGCAGTAAGGAAGAGGAGAAGCAGGCATTAAAGATGGCAAATTCTAATGAAAGACATATTATATTGAGTACATAGAAATTTTATTCCTGAATGTGTAGGTTAGTATACACTGATTTCCACTTTCTTTTGATTCTACAATATAGGGAGTGATGAGATGCCACAAATTGTATGGTGATAAATAAATCGCATGGAACAACATGACTGGTTGCATCCAGGCCTCTTTTTCATGTCACCCCTCTAAACACATTATTGGCTTCAGTCACAATTACATTGCACTTGTAATTCACAAAATAATTTTACCTATGTCATATCAGGATGCCTTTAACTGCCAGTAACAATATCCAAAATATGAAATGTTTTGGCTCACCTCAAATCTAAAAGGATATTAAGTTTTAGATTTGCCTGAATCCTATTCACGCAGACCCTATTTCCCTGCATTCTCGTGGCTCTGCCAACTAGCATCCTCCATATGTTTACTTTATCCTCAGCTTGCTAACAAGTTCTGGATTTCATATGCATACACTGTGACATCCAGAAGAAGAGATGCTCTCAGGAACCATCAGCAAATCTTGTGTCTCTTTTAATGGAGTTAAGTCATAAGCTGGTCCTTTCCAGTCTTTATCAGAGAAGGTAGAGTTGTCCTTAGATAAAACCAGCCTGCTCCTGGACTCAGCTACCTGGAAGCACATGGGTGTGTGTGGAGGCGGGGATTCTGGAACCTAATCCAGGTTCCAGGATGGAAAGAGTGGAGAATGGATGTTGGGTAGGCAGCCAAAAACATCCATTATATACAGTATTCCAGTCTTTCTTAACAATCACAGGGGTAAGTGGGGCAGGTTTCTTCATTGTACAGATGAGAACGCAAGACTCAGATGGTCTTGAACCTTCTTAGTTCACATCTCCCTTTGTGTCTGAGTAATTTTTTCATGGTTCTGATAGGCCAAAAGAAATACCTAACCATTCTATCTAAATTATTAGGTCCCAACAACTTAAGTATTCACACCTTAACAACTAATTAGCTGTTTGAAAAACCATAATACACATAAATTGAGAGAATTATTTTTATTTCATTTTTGACACACTTATGGGTCATACATGTGTTAAACACTGTAACTTCTCATTCCTTAGGATTGGACACCACTATCATTTTCTGTTCCACATTTATATTCATATAATATTTGCTTCATTGAAAGGATTATAGTACAATCTTTTTTAAGATTTTTCTTATTTTTCTATTTTATTTAATTTTTTTTAAAGATTTATTTATTTATTTATGATAGAGAAAGAGAGAGAGGCAGAGATACAGGAGGAGGGAGAAGCAGGCTCCATGCCGGGAGCCCGACGTGGGACTCGATCCCTGGACTCCAGGATCGCGCCCTGAGCCAAAGGCAGGCGCCAAACCGCTGAGCCACCCAGGGATCCCAAGATTTTTCTTTCTAAAGATTTTATTTATTTATTCATGAGAGACACACACAGAGGGGCAGGCTCCATCCAGGGAGCCCAATGTGGAACTTGATCCCAGGACCCCAGGATCACGCACTGAGCTGAAGGCAGAAGCTCAACTGCTAAGCCACCCAGGGGTCCCTTATGATTTTATTTATTTATTCATGAGAGACACAGTGAGAGAGAGGCAGAGGGAGAAGCAGGCTCCATGCAGGGAGCCCTATGTGGGCCTCAATCCCGGGACTCCAGGATCATGCCCTGAACCGAAGGCATTCAACTGCTGAGCCACCTGGATTATAGTGCAATCTTATGTTCAAAGTGCCATCTACTTCACTGATACTTCATGTGGTGTCTGTTTAACAGATGCTGGTTTTCACTCTGTTTACTATCTTCAAAATTTTAAATCTCCTGAGGCATCCCTTTGTGTTCAGTGTGGTATCCTGGGGCATTTTGGCACACAGTTTGGGAACCATCAGTTTAAGTGATTTGCCTAGGAAGATACTAGTAAGAAGAGGCAGAACAAGAATTTAAATTTCAATATTCCCACTCTGAGTCTTGCTCCTAAACCATTTTAAGGGCCCGTCCCATAAAATTGTGTTCCTCTTGCTCCAGAGACTTTTCACTTGAACTCCTCAAGGTCCAGCAAAGAAAATATGACCCACCCAGAGTCTTTAAAACAGAGATTTATTCTTACACCATAAACAAAAATAATCTCAAAATGGTTTAAAGACCTACATGTGAAACCTGAAACCATAAAATTGCTAGAAGAAAACATAGGTAGTAATTTCTTTGACATCAGCTGTAGAAACATTTTTCTACATATGTATCCTCTGGCCCGGAAAACAAAAGCAAAATTAAACTGTTGGAACTACACCAAAATAAAAAGCTTTTCAACAGCAAAGGAAACCATTAACAGAACAAAAGGTCAACCAATTGAATGGCAGAAGATATTTGCAAATGATACGTCTAGATAAGGGGTTACTATCCAAAATATGTAAAGAATTTATACAACTCAACACCAAAAGAACAAATAATCCAATTAAAAATGGGCAGAGGACCTGAATAGACATTTTTCCAAAGAAGACACACAGATGGCTAACAGACACATGAAAAGGTCCTCAACATCAGTAACATGAGGAAAATACAATTTAAAGCCACAATAAGAATCACAGTTGCTGTCAGAATGACTAAAATAAAAAAATGCAAGAAGTAACAAGTATTGGAGAGGTTGTGAAGAAATAGGAACCCGCATGCACCACTGGTGGGAATGAATGCACACTGGTGCAGCCACTGAGGGAAACATATGGAGGTTCCTCAAAAATTAAAAATAAAATTACCTTATGATCCAGTAATTCTACTACTGGGCATTTACCCAAAGAAAAACACTAATTTAAAAAGATACGCATCCCTGTGTTTATTGCAGCAAAATTTATAATAACCAAGGTATGGTAGCAACCCCAGTGTCCACTGATAATGGATAAAGAAGATGTGCTATGTGTATACACAATGGACTATTACTCATAGAAAAGATGAACTTTTGTCAGTTGTGACCATGTGAATGGACCTCAAGTGTATAATGCAAATTGAAAAAGTCGGAGAAAGACAAATGCCGTGATTTTACTCATGTGGAATTTAAGAAACAACAAAGAGAAAAGACAAAAAATACAGAGATCAAACCAGTGGTTGCCTGAGGGGAGGCAGGTGGGGGGATGGGTGAAATATCAATCAATCAGGAAATGTAATATAGAGAATTTTACCGGTGACAAAAGAGCTGAGAAGACCAGGGGACGTTGAGGCAGGCAATCCAGATATGAGCTACAACAGGGAAGCCAGGACCACTTCTGTGGCTGCAGGCATGATGGGAAAAGCAGTGTAAGGAGAACCTGGAAGTTAAGGTTGCCTGGTGGAAGCCGGACCCACTGTGGAGAAGCAGCCACTGACAGCTCAGGAAGGAGAAAGCAAGGGAAATAACATGATTTCCCTCCTGGCCCCAGTCTTCCCACCAATGCCATCCATTGGCCCAACCTACCTAGAAGCTAGAGAGCAAGGAACCCTGGGAAATGTAGTCTCTTATGATATGTGAGGAGGGGCGAGGAATGGACCTGAACAAACAGGCAGTTTAGGGATACTACAAAATGCAGTGAATGCGCTTTATTTACTCAGTAACTCCTGTAGCAAATATTTTTGAGGACGTACTAGGTGTCAGGTGTCATGTTAGATGCTGGGGATACCAAAATGACTGAAATGAACCTGATCACTGCTCGTAAAGGGATCAGACTAACAGGAGAAATAGAATAAACTCAGAACTATCTAATTATAAAGTGTGTTAAGTGCAATGAAGGGACATATCACAGTGCTATGAGACAGCTATAGATTGGAGAGAGGATGCAACTTCCCGTGGTTTTAGGTCTAGCTAATGGACTCTTGAGGTGTGTGCGTATAGAAACTTGGGTTCAGGAAGACACAGAATATTTATATCTAGAAAAAGTTCGGAAGAAGATATTGAGGCATTCATATTTTGACTGGACACCTGCATCATACAGCTCTATCATCTCAAAGCTGTGTGTGTGAGATCGTGTGTAACAGGGTGTGTATATGTGTGTGCACGACACAGAGAGGGAGAAAGAACAGTACAAAGGGAGATTCCTTTAGACAAACATTCTAAGGAGCCAGAGGGCTCACAGCCACTAATCTCCCTCATGCTTTCCTGACTCCACCCCCTTCCCTCTCATCATAACTTGTGATCTTAGAGGCATGAAAGAATTTGAGCCCCTCCCCCAGCTTGACCATCTCTGTTGGCTGCTCAGCCGGGCTCCATGTCAAATCCAGCTTGGAGCAGAAACCTGAGGTCCACTCAGAAGGTGGTGGGCTTGCAGGCAAGGTTCCTCACCCTGTGGCCATGGGCGGCAACACTGGGCAGCTTGGCATTGATACCTGTAAGTCCCTAGCTGAGGATGACCCCTTTGATCCTGTGGAGCCTCCCAAAAGACCCACGAGCAATCTCATCATGCACAGCATGGCCATGCTTGGCCGGGAGTTCTGCTACGCGGTGGAGGCAGCCTACGTGACCCCAGTCCTGCTCAGCGTGGGGCTGCCCAAGAGTCTGTACAGCACTGTGTGGCTCCTCAGCCCCATCCTGGGATTCCTGCTGCAACCCGTGGGGGGATCAGCCAGCGACAACTGCCAGGCCAGGTGGGGCCGGCGGAGACCCTACATCCTCACCCTGGGCATCATGATGCTTCTGGGCATGGCTCTGTACCTCAACGGGGATGCTGTTGTATCAGGTCAGTGGTCTGTACAGGTGGGCAGGCAGTGGAAAGGGCCCATTGTATGACTCAATAGGAGTAGAATGCAGATTTCTTTATGTGACGTACAATTGGAAATTGATTAGAACGGATTGTCTCTCCTAGATTACAATAAATTTCCACTTTGGAATGACCCAATTCCAAGTTCTGTGGCTGGGGAACCTTTACTTTTAGAAACATCTAGGATGCATTGCTGCTGTTGTTTTATTGTTGTGAGGATTTAAAAATAGAAATATTTTTTAAATCTGTTTTGTGAACTGCAATATTTTTACATGTTTATCAGCTGCAGTGTTCTTTGAGCTTATGCTTTATTTGGTACTTTTGTCAAATTAACCATTTGCCAAATGACTCCATGAATACTTATAATAAATTACCTACATGTCTAAATAAGAGCTAATTTTATTCATAGCTTTATGTAGAGTCTTTTAATGGGTGTAGGGCATCAGCCTGTCAGCTCAAGGGGACATTTTTGCACTGTAAATTCTGGGCAAAAACAAACCTGATGGTAAGGACTTTTTCTTGCCATTAACCAGCCACCAATTCATCAGTAACTGGTGGTAGTACATAAAAAGGTTCATTGAAAGAAGAATTGTTAAAAAATAGCACACATTTCTGTATCATTAACTCTCAGACTAGCAGAATGGATGATAATGAGGCAGGATAGTCAGCTATTATTTGTATATATTTATTTATTTTTATTTTTAAAATTTATTTATTCATGAGAGACACACACACAGAGAGAGAGAGGCAGAGACACAGGTAGAGGGAGAAGCAGGCTCCAGGCAGGGAGCCCTATGTGGGACTCGATCCCGGGACTCCAGGATCATGCCCTAAGCCAAAGGCAGTCGCTCAACCCCTGAGGCAGCCAGGCATCCCTCATTTGTATATATTTAAAAGAGGGCATAAATCCATAAATGTTGGTTATATCTGCAAAATATTCACAAAAACCCCTGATAAGAATAGTTGCCTTTGGGAGGAGGTACTGAAAGACTTTGGATGTAAAAAGTGGAGTGTAGGCTTATTTTTAACTTATTTTAATAAGTTAAAATAAGTTAAATAATAATTAAAAATAAATTAAATAATAATTTTTAAAAATATGTGCATATATTGTTTTATTCTTAAGCGAAACTGAAAACAAGGGAAAACATTCTTTTTTTCTCTAATAGGAGACTGGATGAATGAATTCCAGCACACCCAGAGTGAATATTATTCAGCTGTTAAAAATTGTGCAGCTGCTCTCCATTAAGTGAAATGCAAAGATCTGAGGAGACTTGGTTATAGATAAATGTGTCCGATTGATCCCATTAGTCAGTGCTCAAAGTATGGGTCTCAGAGCCAGGGCATCCTTGGGCATCCTTGGGCAGAGGGTGTTTAGAGATGCAAATGCCCAACCGCACCTCAGACCTATTGGAGAGTCATGAGTCATGGGAGAATAATGGAGAATCATGGGAGACAGAGCCCAATAAATCTGTTTCAACAAGTTGTCCAAGGAATGATTAAGGATGCTGCAGTTTGAGAGCACTGTATTAGGGCACTGGTGTACATTTTTTTCTGTATGTGTTTAAGTACGTAAAGAGATATCTGAAGGATGGCCATCAGTGGGGGCTGGGATGAAGCATTTCCCTCGACTTTTCTAGATTATTGGAATGGTTTATAATAAGCCGTTTACAAGAATTTTTGAAACAACTTTTTAAAATGAGATATGATTTAAAATTCATACAACTCAGTGCTGTATCAGTATATCCCAAGGTAGTACAACCATCACCAACCACTATCTAAAGCTACCACATTTTATCACCCTGAAAAGAAACCCAGTAACCATTAGCAGTCACCTCCCATTCTCTCCTCCCCATCGGGACTAAGCAACCCCTCAATCTACTTCCCATCTCTGCAGATCTACCTTTTCTGGCATTCACATTGTGTAATTTTTAAAACCTGAAAAAATAATGAAGCCATTTTTATTTGGAAAAGCAAAGGGAGGTAAATTGATGACAAGGCCTTTTGGTGAAAATAAAAATGCAAATCCTTCTAATGCAGGATTAGGTGATGTATGTTTATTTCCTTTTTAGCCTTGATTGCTGATCCAAGAAGGAAGCGGATTTGGGCCATAACCATCACAATGATAGGTGTAGTTTTCTTTGATTTTGCTGCTGACTTCATTGATGGGCCCATTAAAGCCTACTTATTTGATGTCTGCTCTTATGAGGATAAGGAGAGGGGCCTCCACTACCATGCCTTCTTCACAGGTAGGGAATATTCCAGAAAATCTTTCCTTAAGCTCACCAGACAGGGAGGCACTTCCACTAAAGCCAGCCAGTGTCTATACGCGTCAGAGTTTTTGAATGAAAGAGTCTGTTGATGGAGTGCTCCCATCACGCGGCTCTGTCTTTCAATGCATTTCTCTAAACAAATCAGCTTGTGACTGGGCTCTGGAGGTTTTGCAAAGGAAGTTTACATAAGAGCTTTCTGAGGAATCATTTGTGGAGACATTTACAACTGCAATGAAAAGGGGCCCTTGTGCACTTTACTTTTTTTTTCTTTTTTAAAATCAGTAATGTAGCATCAGCATTACTTAGGAACTTGTTAAAAATGCAGCTTCCTGGGCCTCTCTCCTCCAGTTATTTTGGTTCAGTGGGTTTGAGATGGGACCCAGAAGTCTGCATTTTTAAAAGGATCCTGGATGATTCTGTGGCAAGTTTCCTAAGAACTGCATTTAAACGCAAAAATAGAAACAAACCAAGCAAATTCAAACAAACTTAAACAAACCCCATTAGTCCTTAGTTATATAAAAAGTTGGCATTTCCTCAACCTCCTGGTTTGAAAAAGGCCATGCCAGGACAATGAGGGCTCTCTTTGATTCTTGGGGCTGTTGCCGGCTTCCTTTGGTTGCTGTTGGGTCATTCATTTAAAACGATGCTAGCAATATTCAATATGTATTTATAGAGCACCAGTCAGGAACCCCCTGGGGAAAGGGGTTATACAGAAGATTATAGTACCATTCTGGCCTGGAAGGGGTTTTATATATAGTTGGGGGTGGGGAGGATCTATCAATCCACCTTATTTGATATCTTTAAGGCCCAACCAAAATATTTATTTTGTCTTGATATATTGTCTCCGTTCATAGCCAGGTAGGTCCCATGAGAAGCAAAATCTTAAGTTTATGTTTCCAGTGCCTGCGCATGGAAGCCTTTGGGGTCAATATTCGTTGTTTGAACAAACATTTGAATGGTAGCCTCTGGAAGCAGAGGCTGCCCAGGCAAGAGAGTAGTTCTTCCCTGCTTCAGGGAAAATGGAGGAGCCCATCCAACCTAACACATTGAGAATTTTATTGCTCTAATGTACTTTGGGCAGTGTGGCCACCCTTTCCCAGGTCACGTCATGTTTGTCCTGGCCAACCAGTCTCTCCCGTGCTGCCCCTGTTATTAGAAGGCTGAATTTGGTATTTGGGGGAACTTTTCAAAGGCTAGCACATTAGGTAATATTTCTATGAGTTTGAGAAAATATTGTGTTCCCAGGGGCAGAGGCCAGGTCTGTTTTACTCATTGCATCCCTTTTCACCTTTTGCGCAGCCTGGCACATCATACACAAGTGCTCAGAATAAATATTAATGGAAAAAACAAAGGAGGCTGCCCTTTTCTGTTCCAACTTCCAAATTGCCTTCCCCCTTTCTCCCTTTGGAAATCAAGGCTGCTTGGAAGCTTTCCACCCATTTCCTGAGGAGAAGAACCACCACCCCCCCCTTCTCCTAAATTGCAGGCAAACAACTTCTAACTTGGTCAGGGACTCTACCGACCCATAAAGTAATCAAAAGAAAAGTTTATTAAGTGGATGAAGATAGAGGTATAGACACATTGTGTAACTCCAGCAGGAAGAGATGGTGGAGGCTACAGTTCATCTCGTCCATATCCTGAACTTCATTGCCCTGGGGCTGGTGTCATCTGCTTGGGCTACCAAAGCACAATACCACAGACTGGGTGCTGAAACCACAGAAATTATGTTCTCACACTTTTGAAGGCTGGAAGTCCAAGATCACGATGACTACAGGGTTGGTTGGTGAGACCTTACTTCTTGGTCTTTACCTGGCCATCTCCTCACTCTGACCTCACAGGGCCTTTCCTTTGTGCACACGTTCCTAGTGAGTCTTATCCAATTTTAAATACCAGTCCTGGGGTGCCTGGGTGGCTCAGTCGGTTAAGTGTCTGCCTTTGGCTCAGGTCATGATCCTGGGGTCCTGGGATTGAGCCCCGCATCAGGTGCCCTGCTCCACAGGGAGTCTGCCTCTCTATCTCCCTCTGCCCCTACCCATTCACCCCTGCTTGTGTGCTCTTTCTCTCTTTCAAATAAATAAATAAATAAATAAATAAATAAATAAATAAATAAATAAATAAATAAATAAAATCTTGGAAGAAAGAAAGAAAGAAAGAAAGAAAGAAAGAAAGAAAGAAAGAAAGAGAAAGACACCAGTGCTATGGTTTAGAGCCCCACCCTCATGACCTCATTTAACCTTAATTACCTCCTAAAGGCCTTTTCTCCAAATGTGTCGTCACACTGGGGCTTCAGCATTTGTCTCTTTTAAAGGAGAAAGCAAAACTCCCACAAGACTTCTGCTTGTGTCTCATTGGGCAGAATTAGGTGGCATGAACACCCAGAGGCCCAGGGGGTTGGAAAAGTGAGGGTTTAGAGGAGGGTGAGAGAGGTAAATCCTTAAATTGAATTTTAATTCTGTTAGCTAGGAGGAAGGGGTAATTATTATGGAATAGGCCAAAGTTGGTAGTTATCACATAGAATGCAAACACAATCGAGTACTAGCCTAATGAGAACAATTAAAGGCCAAGACAAGAAAGAATTTACAAAGCCCAATCTATTGATGAATAATCAAGAGGTAATTGTATTTTAAAATTATACTGCAGTTCACATTGTTATCTGATCACATTTATTATAATACTATTCATAGGCTCCCCTGTATTCTAATTCAGTATGTATTTATTTTCTTTTTACAAGATTTTATAAACTACACAATTTGTAAAAATATGAGGGTTTACCTCCCCATGGCTTCTAACCCATTGCCTTCTTGGTAGCAGGTACTTAGAAATGTTAGTTGTGTAAAAGGAGACTCTTGGTTTCATAACCCTGCTTATATTTCATGCAGCTTTACACCAAGTTGGCAAATTGCATCCATCAGATGAATACGTTCATTTGAATACCTTGTTTCGTCTCACGATCAGCACTGAGCCCTCAATCCCAGCCAACTGTCTCTGGTTATAGGAGGACCCCTGAGTGTGTGTGGATGGCTCAAAGCAAAATCTTTTTCCAATTAGTAAAAAAGAAAACATCATCCTCTTCTAAAATAGTACAGTGAAGTCTCACCTTATTTAAAGCTTAGATTCTAAAGTCCCTGCCCAAGTGATGATCATAGAGAGTCTACATTATTCATAAATATCTCTCAGATCACAGTTAAAATATAGTATGCCTTGATTAGTGTGCACGGACCTGCATAGTGATGGATCCATATATCGGCAGCAACATATCCTCCTTAACATTTACTGCTGGACATGGGCTCAATGAATGGGATAGAAGACATTTATTAACATTATTATTAACATTTATAAAATGTTAATCTCTCTCTCCCCTTCTTTTCAAAGTGTGAATAGTTGAATTCTTTCCAGTTAAACATAGATGTGTGACCCCACCATACCGTCCTTGTTCTGAATGGAAGCCCACATTGGAAAACCGAGTGAAAAATAATAAGCAATGCATTACCATACTGCTCTGTCTTTGCATACAGGCTAGACCTTCCGAATTTCCATGAACTTGGCAAAGAGATGTCTATAGCATTCTGTTTGAATCAAGCATTTTATGATAAAGGAATGTTCAGTGTCAGGGCCCATTTTGATTTTCAGCAGCAGCAAGAAATTGTTTACCCAAGGAATCCAGTCATCTGAGTAAATTGAAATTCTTCTTTTCTTATTTATTTCAGAGCTATTTATTTCATTTTAGTCCAAGCCCAACAATTCCAAATGCTTTGCAAATAAGTGTCAAAGGGTTTGTTGCCAAAATATTTCCCAGCATATTTTCTGACTTTTTTTTTTTTTTTAAGAAAAGACTCTTCTGGTTCTTAAGGGACATTTTTGTTCCCTGGCTGCTTCTGTCTCTTACATTTAAAGGTAACTAACTATCCTTTCTCTATCCCTGACACATGTGGTAGATTTAGTGGATCCACCCTTGTCGTGCTACCCTATGCCTTCACCTCTGGGTGCATCTAGGCCTGTGGAAACCACATTCACTAGTAGGAAATTCCTTCCCTGTGTCAGAATGCTTCTAACTGAGCATATATCTGCTAAGTTGAACCCACCACTTTGCTGTCCTTAGCAGTTGGCTCTATCTTGCAGCGGGCAGCCGGGATGAGGTATGATGGGAAAAGTTGTCCTGGTTCAAATCCTGGCCCACTGCTGAGTGGTTTTAGTATTTCTGAACTCTTATTTCCTCACAGGATTGTGAATCTTTACACAATGTTAGTTATTAATATCCTGCCAAATGCCCAGAGCCAGGAATCGTTCGTTTCAAAGGATCAAACACCAAATATCTATATTTAGTTCATTTCCTCTATTCCCACTGGCCTTATAAAACCCATCAAAGTTTTATTTGTGGTAACTCAGAGGAACTTGTCCCACGTACATCTTTGGAAGAAGGATGGGTAGCTTGTTGGGGCACGACCTCTTTTAACTATTCTTTTTTTTTTTTTTTTTTTTTAAATATCTCAAAGCAACATAAAAATGCTCAGGCTACAAACACTGATTAGAAATAATTTAAGGACTAAGAAAAGAATATTAAAAAATGAAGTTTAGGTAGACATGGGCTCCTATGAGCAAGCCCTTTGCACAAGTGGAAAAGATGCCATGTTTTGTGTTAGAGATTATCGGAATGCTTTCTCCTTCATGAGCAATTGCTGCATGAGTGGGTTTCTTGTGTCAGCTGGGTTCCCTTTGAAGTTTCCGTCCCTGGTGAACTTTCATATTTCATCAGTGACTTAGCTTGGAAAGGATGTGGCCAGAGTATAAGCCAAGGACATAGGCATGCCAGCTTTGTGGGCAACACGGATGACTTAGAGCAAAACGATTATTGTCTCCAAACTGCCATTTCTTTTCTGTTCAAGCATGAGCAACACACCTCTCCAAGAATCTCAGAGAAACAAAAGTTAGGTTTCATGTGCTGGGTCAGGAAATGAGAAATTTCAGGTATCTTATCT